GAGGGAATAAGGGAGCGGGATACACTGGGATACAGAGTTATTAAATGTAACTAATAATAATAAACAATAAAAAGATTGTAAATTAGGCATAAAGAAACAATCTTTTTTATTTTTTAATTATTCTCATTAGTTACATTTTGTTAATTCTGTATCCCAGCTGTATCCCTCATTCCCTCCCCAATCCCACCCTCCCTCCCTCATCTCCTCCCTGCCCCTTTCCAAGTCCACTGATAGGGGAGGACCTCCTCCCCTTTCATATGACTCCGTTTTGTCAGGTATTTTCAGGACTGGCTGCAAAGTCCTCCTCTGTGGCCTGACAGTACTGCTTCTCCCTTGGGAGGTGGGGAGGTCAAAGAGCCAGTCATTGAGTTCCTGTTAGAAATAGTCCTTGTTCCCCTTACTATGGGAAACCAATTGATTACTGAGCTATCACGGGTCACATCCGAGCAGAGGTTCTAGGTTTTATCCTCTCATAGTCTTTGGTTGAGTGTTCATCTCAGAAAAGACCCTGTGCCCAGATATGTTTGGTCCTTGTGGAGCTCCTATCCTTTCCACATCAAATTCCTCTTCTTTCATATGATTCCCTGCACTCTGCCGAAGGTTTGGTTATGAGTCTTAGTATCTACTTTGGAACACTGCTAGGTAGAGTCTTTCAGATGCTTTCTGCGGTAGACTCCTGTCATATGTTCAATGCATATCCCATTTGTCTTTCTAAATGAGGATTGATCATCATACCTTGTGTCCGCTTTCTTGATTATCTTCTTTAGGTGTATAGATTTCATTATATTTATCATATCTTTTAGGTCTATATTCCATGTTTGTCTTTCTCCTTCTGGGATACTTCACTCAGAATGATCTTTTCTAGATCCCACCATTTGCCTGCAAATTTCATGATTTCCTCTTTTTTGATTGCTGAGTAGTATTCCATTGTGTAAAAATACCACAATTTCTGTACCCATTCCTCCGTTGATGGACATCTGGGTTGTTTCCAGGTTCTGGCTATTGCAAATAAAGCTGCTACAAACATGGTTGAACAAATGTCCTTATTGTGTACTTGAGCAAATTTTGGGTATATGACTAGCAGTGGTATAGCTGGGTCTTGAGGAAGCACTATTCCTAATTGTCTGAGAAAGCACCAGAGTGACTTCCAAAGTGGTTGTACCAGTTTACATTCCCACCAGCAATGGAGGAGTGTTCCCCTTTCTCCACAACCTCTCCAGCATGTGTTGTCACTTGAGTTTTTCATCTTGGCCATTCTGATGGGTGTAAGGTGAAATCTCAGGGTCGTTTTGATTTGCATTTCCCTAATGGCTAATGACATTGAGCATTTCTTTAAGTGTAAGAAACAATGTTATATCAAAAGAAATTTCTTTCTTCAGAATATGTTTTGCTTAAGACATTGATTTTTTTTTCTACTTGATAGTTACAGTGAGAATGATCTACTTGACAGTTACAGTAAGAATGATGAGTTTAACCTCATGCTATGTTATAGCAGAATACTCATATCATTAGAAATTTACTTTTGCTTTGACACATTTGCATCTAGCCCTCACTATCCTCAAACTCTGATCCTCTGGCCTCAGTCTTCCAGGGATTACATGTTTGTACCAACATACCTGGCTAGCGTTTCTCTTTTATTCCTCCCCCTTTTATACTTTTATTCAACACACAGTTTAGAGTAGTACCTATTTGTCTGTGGCTTAAGGCAGAAACTGTAGTAAATGACTGGAAACCAAAGTAGAATATTAGTTGGACATCTTAATAGTAGTCAAGTAAATGTAATATGTGTATAGTCCTTTTTAGATTGTCGTCTATCAGAAGTCATTTGCCCTACAGTCCACCATTAAAGGAACAATTAGTGATGCTAAAACAAGTACATATGCACTTTAATTTCCTGCTTTTGAGGACTCCCTGAATTTCATTGCATTCTGCCATTCTCTCTTCCCTATTTTTGAAATTACTGTATTAATATTTAGAAGCTCATACATATACATGTTCTTATAATTATGTGAATAGTAGTGAAATACATTGAAATTAGGGAACTTGAGTATTGAAATAAATTAAAAAATGAAATCTACTTTCATTCCACTAAGCAAGATTCAGTTAATGAAGAAACCTAAAACTACTATGCGGTGTAGTGATTTAACTGAAAGCATTTTTCCTTTTTTTTTATTGTCAAGTATTTTTAATTTTGACTTTAGATTCTTATAATTGTTCTAGATAACCCTACATGTGCTTTAGAAGCAACTCACTGTTGTTTTCAATCATATGCTCAAATAGAAATTCAAACTACTATTTGCCTTGTTTCTTAAAAGAAAAATTATTGTAGAAATTGACTTGAGAGCAGTTTGGTTTTTAATATGAGTAGTATTTGGAGGGGAGAAGTCATACATTTTACTTCATCCTCATGAATTTTTGTCTTATCTCATATATTACATTCCTATCAGTTTCTCCTCCTTCTACTCCTCCTAGTGCCCCCCCCATATCTTTTTTTCCATCAGAAAAGAACAGGCATCCCAGGGACTTCCACCAAACATAGCATAAGAAGTTATAGTAAGACTAGACATATACCCTCATATCAAGGCTGGGAAAGGCAACCTGGTAGGAGAGAAAGGATACCACAAGCAGTCAGAGTTGGAGAAAGTCCCTCCTCCCATTGTCAGGAATCGCATAAGAACGTCTAGCTACACAACCATAATATATATGCAGTGGACCTAGATAAGACACATACAGGCTTTGTGATTATTGCTCCTGTCTCTGTGAGCCCCTATGAGCTATGGTTAGTTGATTCTGAGAACTGTGTTTATCTGGTGTCCTCTCCACCTCTAGGTCCTACAAACCCTTCTTGCCTCCTCTTCTGCAGAATTCCTTGAGCTCTGCCTAATATTTGGTATTAGGTCTCTGCATCTGTTTCTGTCAATTGCTGGAGGATATCTCTCTGATGTTTGATTAGACTAGGCTCCAGTCTATGGGCATAACAGAATTTTAAATTTAATGAATTGTACTAAGAAATGTAATTGTCATTGTGGTTTGTTTATTGAACATAAGGATTAGATGAAGGAAAAAAAAAAAAAGAAACTTTCCAAGATGAGGAAAGAATACAGTGTTCTACCAGGATACTGATATTTGGGGACCAGAAAGGTGCTTGAATTGACATTGTCAAGGCAAATTTGGTTCTTTACAGAAAAGTAATAGACAGATGTGAAGTGGCACAATAACAGAGACCAGGGTACCAGAGTGCTGCTTTCAGACTAACTCCTTTATGTCCTCTAATGCTTCCTTTGCCACCTCCCACAGAAGTACATAAACTCCTCAAACTGAAGTTGGCTTTCATCCTAACTTCCAGGAAACTTTGCAAGGCTCACAGGCATTGGTACAACTTCTCGATGATTAGCAGTCTTCTCTCAGCATTGTAGCTGCTTTTGTGTTAGAAAACTTCATGTCAGTATGCAGATGGCCCCATCTTTTTCTAATGCCTCTGAGGTTTGTAATCTGTATTTTATTCTGTTTTCTTGTTACTCAGGTTTGCTTTGTCCAAGAGCCTTCTTCTTGCTTTCTCTTTTTAAGTGAATTTATCCATTTTTCTGAATTTATCCATTATTCATCAGTACTTAGCTGGGTTGCCTGCCTCTCAAGCCTCTCCTTCTCCAATTTTAGAACTTAACTACCTTTCTATTAAGATTTTTAAGGTTTGCTAAGTATTTGGAATGAAAGGCACTACACAGATATGGGTAGCAAGAACAAAGGATAAATTTGTCACCTTGTAAAGACATGTTCGTCTCTAGTTATGTATGAATTTTGCCAGACTATATCCATGTTATGAAAGATATTGCTAATAAAGTTAAGTTTCTGTGTACCTGTAGGAACTTTGGGAGACACGGATTACATTCTTTAAATACTGCAACCTCTAAATCATTTTTAAAGCTCCTGTTAAAATTGTGAATTACAAAGTGCTTATAGCACTTTGATCCATCAACTGTATTACACATTTTTTAGGAAAGCTGAATTTTATTCACATTTCTGTAGCTTAAAGTTACTTAGGGTGAGGACCTGCTGTGTATGGTGTGGGTACACTTCATTGGTTATTTTTGGTAAAATTAAGCTGTTTAGTAAATCACACTGATATAATGAAAGTCCAACTGAAAGTTTCCAACAAGATTTTGCTCTAATCTAGGTTCTCACTTAAGTTCTTTTTCTTAAATATTGTGCTTGCATATTTTGATGTGTTTGTGTAGAGCTAAGTATTATTGCCTATAATAGTTTTTATTCAGTTAAATATGCTGCCAGTAGGTAATGCCTAAGTTTCTGTCTATAGAAGAATGTCATGCACTTAATTGTGTTTTGATCAGATGTTTATAAATTTCATTAATATGAGCATAATTAAGCTCTAAAGGCAAAGCCAAACAAAATGTCCTATCTACTTGCTTTACTTCCTATGCTAGAGGAAGAAGAAACAGCTTGATTGCTTAAGTAGTTCAGTAAAAGCAAAATGTGTATATTCTTAAGATTCATTTTTTTCATTATGACAGTAAATTAAACCTTAGATAATAGACCACTGAACACATTGTAGTAGTTTCTCCTGGTATTATACATATCTATTTCCTTCACTGCTCTCCACAAATCCTGGGATAGTAATTTGATTTTGGGGAAGGGGGTTAAATAGGCACCTGAACTTTTGATTACATTTATTTTTCAGCCTTGAGATAAGTTTTCCGTTCTCAGCCTGATTGTGCATTTGAAAAATACTAATGTTTAAAGAAGAAAGTAGCTTTGGGTTGTGGTGTTTAGTGAATAGTGGTGAATAGTTTAAAATCATTTCTATGTCTTCTGGTTTTTTTTTAATTTAATTTATATTTATTGATTTTTATGGGTATGGTTGTTTTGGGTGCCCGTATGTCTGTATATCAAGTGCATGCCTTTGCCAGAGGAAGTCAAAAGGTGATGTTAGATTTCCTTAATGGAGTTATAGACAGTTTTGAGCTGCCCTGTGGGTACTGAAACCAAACCTAGGTCCTCTGGAAGAGCAGCCAATGTTTTCTTAACTGCTAAGCCATCTCTTCAGCTCCTTTCAAGTTTCAATTAATATTTTTGTTAGCTTTTCTTTATTATAGGAACTCATAAAAAGGAATCTGACCAATGAAAACAGTTGTTTAATTATCAAGGATAACATCTACTAAGATCATTTGCTGATAATAGATCGTTTTTCATTATGTCATTGCCATAAGTTTCACCATTAATGATGTGAATGGAAGACTAGACACATACAAGATGAAGCATCAAAGGAAAGTTTCATTTTGTGAGCAGTTTAAAATTGTTTGAAGAAGCATTATTTGATGATGATTTTTTGAGGTTTTCCAAGTAAAAGCAAATTGTTCAAAGTATCATTACCTGAGGAAAAAATGCAGGTAGTGTTATGACTATTATATTGAAGACTTGTAGGATGGTGGTTGACAATAAACATAATTTTATTATAGTCTGTTAACAGTAATTTTCAGGCCTGGTTGTGTATTTTTTTTTTTTTTACCTGTAACACATCCAGAAAAGTATTAAACAATAGGCCTATTTATGAATGTGAATGTAGGGGGGCGGAGCCAAGATGGCGACTAGCACACACAGTTTCCGAGCTGTGGAAGAGATAAAGTTCTGAGTTGATGAGTGGAAGAACTTCTGAAGCCAGGGAAACAACAGAGAGACTTTCTAAACAACAGGGAACATCGCAGGAGGTGAAAACCTTGGCCTCGGGTCACCCAGGGACTTGTTTGGGGAAGGTGAGAAACGATCCTTTGATCTCTCGGCACTCCCCTCCCCTAGACCTCCCTCCTCCTCAGCACAGCAGACTAGCCTTTCTCAGACTCGCCTTTCTCAGCGCAGACCTAACTGCCTGGGGCCTGCAGCCACTGAAGCGGAGCCCCAAGCCCTTTATCGGCAAAGGCCAGCAGTACTGTGTCTCTGAGCCCCAGATTCACGCGCGGCGGCTGCACCATCCTCCCAGGGCCCAAGTCTGCTAGACGCCATACTAGCTCCGCAGGAGCACCATCACTGAGGGTACGGCCCGCCCAATCCCACAGTGACAGAGAATACACTATATACTCACCAAAACCAGACAGAAACGCCATACAAGCTAGACACACCAGGCGCTGGGCATCCGAAGCTTGGAGAGCACAGTAGAGACCCCAGGACTTCCCAGAAAGCATCTGGACTAGCAACCCAGTCTCCAGGTACAGCGGGACTTTCTAACCTGGTGGCAGGGCAGCAGTGAGCTGGCGGGGCACATCAGCCCTCCAGTTTAAGACTAACCAGGGCCAAACCAGAGAACAGAAAGGCTGGTTACCCCAATTCCCACTGACGTGACCACCCTGAAATCTCCAGCTGCAGCAAGACCTCATAACCTGGCAGTGACAGCAGCACGGAACTGGCGGAGCACATCAAAGAAGCAGGGCCAAACCAGAGAGCAGAGAGCCCAGATACACCGATCTCTGCCAAGTGTCCTGCCTGTAAGTGAGTGCACCCTTGAGAATCTGCAGCTCCACTGATCCTGGGTTCTTCTAAAACAGAAGCCAGGCAACGAACCCCCTCCCACCCATATACCCACTTTGGGAAACAGAGGGGCACTTGGAACATTGAAGTTCCTGCTCTGTGGGTCTAATTGAGGAGTTAAGGCAGTTAATGCCAGAAATTGCGCTGCGATCATCACTAGCGCCTGCGACATATACATTGCAGAGCCCCTCCCACACACTCAAGGGTTCAACATTAGCCATCACTCTGTCCCTCGAGACACACGCCCACACCCACTTACATACACACACACACATATACACACGCACGCACGCACGCACGCTTGCATTTGCCTCTGTTTGCGCCTGCGTACTTTCCTCCCACAGGTACAGCTAGTCCTCAGCATACACTAAGGACACGGGACCTCTCTCAACTTCCTGAAGAATTCTCCAGACTCGAGAGAGAGACAGTACCAGTCTGATCAGCAGAATCCAAAAACAAACAGGGAAGGTCTCAGATAAGCCAATGGCCAGGGGTAGGCGAAAGAACACTTCCAACATAAATCAGGACATCATGACTTCACCAGCAAACCCCAAAATCGATGGATACTCCAATTCATCAGAAGCACAGGAAAATGACCTTAAAGCCATGCTTGCTCAATTATTTGAGGCTCATAAGGAGGAAATGAACAAATCTTTCAAAGAGTTGGCCAGACAATTGGAGGTAAAGAAAGAAGAAATAGACAAAACCCTTAAAGAAACACAGGCAAACATAGCCAAACAAATAGAGGCACAAGTAGAGAAGAAATTAGTGGCATACAAAAAGGAAATGAACAAAGAAATAGAGTCCATCGTAGAGAGACAGGAATCCAAATTCAAACACATAAAAGAAATGGTGCAAGGCATGAAAACAGAATTAGAATCAATAAAGAAAACACAAAATGAGAAAACTCTTGAGCTGGAGAACTTTGAGAAAAGATCAGGAACCACAAAAGTAAGCATCACCAACAGAATACAAGAGATGGAAGAGAGAATCTCTGGAGCTGAAGACACACTTGCAGAAATTGATACTTCTCTCAAAGAAAAAGTAAAATCAGAAAAATTCCAATCACAAAATATCCAAGAAATCAAGGATGCTATGAAAAGACAAAATCTAAGAATCATAGGAATTGCTGAAAAAGAAGACTCCAGGCTCCAAGGTCCAGAAAATATTTTCAAGAAAATCATAGAAGAAAATTTTCCCAACTTAAAGAAAGAGATGTCCATAAATATACAAGAGGCCTACAGAACACCAAATAGACTAGACCAGAAAAGAAACACATCACGTCACATCATAGTCAAAACACTAAATCTACAGAACAAAGAAAAGATATTAAAAGCAGCAAGGGAAAAAGGCCAAGTAACATATGAAGGTAGACCTATCAGAATCACACCAGACTTCTCATCAGAAACTATGAAAGCCAGAAGGGCCTGGGCAAGCATCATGGAGACTCTAAGAGATCACAAATGTCAACCCAGACTACTATACCCTGCAAAGCTTTCAATCAACATAGATGGAGAAAACAAAATATTCCATGACAAAACTAAATTTACGCAATATCTATACAGCAAACCAACCCTACAGAAGATACTAGAAGGAAAACTCCAATCCAACGAAAACGAATTCACCCAAGAAAACAGGGCATACAGATAATATCCCAACAAAAATGAAAAGAAAACAAGCAATGAAACAAGGTAAGATCATCGACTCCATTACAAAAGGAACTAACATGCATTGGTCAATATTATCTATCAATATTAATGGACTCAACTCACCAATAAAAAGACAGAGGCTAACAGAATGGTTACGGAAACAGGACCCAACATTCTGTTGCATCCAAGAAACACACCTATGCAACAAAGATAAACACTACCTCAGAGTAAAGGGCTGGAAAAATGTTTTTCAAGCAAATGGTTCCAGAAAACAAGCTGGAGTAGCCATCCTAATATCTAATAAAATAGACTTTCAACCCAAGTTAATCAAAAAAGATAAGGAGGGCCACTATATTCTCATCAAAGGAAAAATCCAACAAGAGGACATCACAATTTTGAATATCTATGCCCCAAATACAAGAGCACCTACATTCGTAAATGAAACAATATTAAAGCTTAAATCATACATTGATCCTAATACCTTAATAGTAGGAGACTTCAACACCCCACTCTCATCAAGGGACAGATCAACCAGACAGACACCAAATAGGGAAATAAAAGCACTCACAGAATCCCTAAATCAAATGGACCTAATAGATGTCTACAGATCTTTTCACCCAAACTCAAAAAAAGAGTACACCTTCTTTTCAGCACCACATGGAACCTTCTCCAAAATAGACCATATAGTTGGTCACAAAGCAAGCCTCAACAGATACAAAAGGATTGAAATAATCCCTTGTATACTATCTGACCACCATGGACTAAAGCTGGACATCAACAACAACAGAAACAACAAAAAGCAGACACGCACATGGAAACTGAACAACTTACTACTCAATGACAGCTGGGTCAAGGAAGGAATAAAGAAAGAAATTAAAAACTTTCTAGAATTCAATGAAAATGAAGGCACAACATACCCAAATTTATGGGACACATTGAAAGCAGTGCTCAGAGGAAAATTTATAGCACTAAGTGCCTACAAGAAGAAATCCATAACATCACATACAAACAACTTAATGGCCCAACTGAAAAACCTAGAAAAAAAGAAGCAGATACACCCAAGAGGAGCAGACGGCTGGAAATAATCAAACTAAGGGCAGAAATCAATCAATTAGAAACAAATAAAATTATCCAAAGAATCAATGAAACAAAAAGCTGGTTCTTTGAGAAAATCAAGATAGACAAACCCTTAGCCAAACTAACTAAAAAGCAGAGAGAAACCATACAAATCAGCAAAATCAGAAAGGAAAATGGGGACATAACTACAGACACTGAGGAAATCCAAATGATTATTAGGTCATACTACAAAAGCCTATATGGCACAAAATTTGAAAATCTAAATGAAATGGATAACTTTCTTGACAGATTCCATCTACCAAAATTAAGTCAAGATCAGGTAGAAAGGCTGAATAGTCCTATATCTCCCAAGGAAATTGAAGCAGTCATTAACAGTCTCCCCTCCAAAAAAAGCCCTGGACCAGATGGCTTCAGCGCAGAATTCTACAAGACCTTCAAAGAATTACTAACACCAATTCTCCTCAAACTATTCCATAAAATAGAAACAGAAGGAACACTACCAAACTCATTCTATGAAGCCACAGTCACTTTGATACCTAAACCACACAAAGACCCAACAAAAAAAGAGAACTTCAGACCTATCTCTCTTATGAACATTGATACAAAAATACTCAATAAAATCCTTGCAAACCGAATCCAAGAACACATCAAAGATATCATCCACCATGACCAAGTAGGCTTCATCCCAGGCATGCAAGGGTGGTTCAACATACGGAAATCCATCAATGTAATCCACCACATAAACAAACTGAAGGAGAAAAACCACATGATCATCTCCTTAGATGCTGAAAAAGCATTTGACAAAGTCCAACACCCATTCATGTTTAAAGTCTTGGAGAGATCAGGGATACAAGGCACATACCTAAAGATAGTAAAGGCAATATACAGCAAGCCTATAGCCAACATCAATCTCAATGGAGAGAAACTTAAATCAATCCCACTGAAATCAGGGACAAGACAAGGCTGCCCACTCTCTCCATATCTCTTTAACATTGTACTTGAAGTCCTAGCCAGAGCAATAAGACAACTAAAGGAGATCAAGGGGATACAAATCGGAAAGGAAGAGGTCAAAGTGTCACTATTTGCAGATGATATGATAGTATACATGAGCGAACCCAAAGATTCAACCAGAGAACTTCTTCAGCTGATAAACACCTTCAGCAAAGTGGCAGGATACAAAATCAACTCAAAAGAATCAGAAGCCCTCTTGTATACCAAAGACAAAAAGGCTGAGAAAGAAATTAGGGAAACAACACCGTTCACAATAGCCACTAATAACATAAAGTACCTTGGTGTGACTCTAACCAAGCAAGTGAAAGACCTGTTTGAGAAAAACTTCAAGTCTTTGAAGAAAGAAATTGAAGAAGATCTCAGAAGATGGAAAGAACTCCCGTGCTAATGGATTGGTAGGATTAACATTGTGAAAATGGCCATCCTGCCAAAAGCAATCTACAGATTCAATGCAATTCCCATCAAAATACCAACTCAATTCTTTACAGACCTTGAAAAAAAGATTCTCAGCTTCATATGGAGAAACAAAAAACCCAGAATCTCCAAAACGATCCTGTACAACAACAGATCATCTGGAGGTATCTCCATTCCCGATCTCAAGCTGTACTACAGGGCAACAGTAATAAAAACAGCACAGGCTCTAAGAGCAACAATCAATAAATGGGACCTCATGAAACTGAAAAGCTTCTGTAAAGCAAAAGACACTGTCATCAAAACAAATAGACAGCCTACAGATTGGGAAATAATCTTCACCAACCCTTTATCTGACAGAGGGCTAATATCCAGTATATATAAAGAACTAAAGAAGCAGAAAAGCAACAAACCAAGTAATCCACTTAAAAAATGGGGAACAGAGCTAAACAGAGAATTCTCGAAAGAGAAACATCGAATGGCAGAGAAACACTTAAAGAAATGCTCAACCTCATTAGCCATTAGGGAAATGCAAATCAAAACGACTCTGAGATTTCACCTTACACCCATCAGAATGGCCAAGATGAAAAACTCAAGTGATAGCACAGGCTGGAGAGGTTGTGGAGAAAAGGGAACCCTCCTCCATTGCTGGTGGGAATGTAAACTGGTTCAACCACTCTGGAAGTCAATCTGGCGCTTTCTCAGACAACTAGGAGTAGTGCTACCTCAAGACCCAGCTATACCACTCCTAGGTATATACCCAAAATTTGCTCAAGTACCCAACAAGGACATTTGTTCAACCATGTTTGTAGCAGCTTTATTTGTAATAGCCAGAACTTGGAAACAACCCAGATGTCCATCAACGGAGGAATGGATACAGAAATTGTGGTATTTTTACACAATGGAATACTACTCAGCAATCAAAAAGGAGGAAATCATGAAATTTGCAGGCAAGTGGTGGGATCTAGAAAAGATCATTCTGAGTGAAGTATCCCAGAAGGAGAAAGACAAACTTGGTATATACTCGCTTATATAGACCTACAAGACATGATAAACATAATGAAATCTACACACCTAAAAAAGATAATCAAGAAAGTGGACACAGGCGAAGGTGATTAATCCTCATTTAGAAAGACAAATGGGATGTGCATTGAACTTATGACAGGAGTCTACCACAAAAGGCATCTGAAAGACTCTACCTAGCAGTATTTCAAAGCAGACACTAAGACTCATAACCAAACCCTCGGCAGAGTGCAGGGAATCATATGAAAGAAGGGAAGTTAGTATGATATGGAAAGGATAGGAGCTCTACAAGGACCAAATATATCTGGGCACAGGGTCTTTTCTGAGACTGACACTCAACCAAGGACCATATATGGATATAACCTAGAACTTCTGCTTGGATGTGGTCTGTGGTAGCTCAGTAACCAAGTAGTTTTCCAAAGTAAGGGGAACACGGACTATTTCTAACAGGATCTCAACGGCAGGCTGTTTGACACCCCCCCCCCAGGGGAGGAGCAGTCTGTTAGGCCACAGAGGAGGACTTTGCAGCCAGCCCTGAAGATACCTGATAAAACAGGGTCAGTTGAAAGGGGAGGAGGTCCTCCCCTATCAGGGGACTTGGAAAGGGGCAGGGAGGAGACCAGGGAGGGAGTGTGGGGTTGGGGAGGGAATGAGGGAGCGGGATACAGCTGGGACACAGAGTTAACAAAATGTAACTAAAAAGAAAATAATAATAATAATAAAAAAAATCTGTCCAGCTATAGTTCATTCAATCTCCCTTCCTGAGGATATGAGATTACTTAAAGAAAACACACAGAAAAGAATAAATATTATTACTTTCTTCTTCGATGTATCCAGCATGGTATCAGAGTAAATACTATTACATCATTTCAAGAACCTTTATTATTAAGTTATCAGCATGTCAGGGTGCCATATTTTGAGGTAAAGTTCCCTAGTCACCTTTAGATGCTTTCTTTAATTATTTTAGAATTATATTGTTGGCTTTAGACCAGTTGGTTTGAACAACAGTTTTGCTAAGTCAACAACTAAGAGATTTGTAGATTTTAATTTCTTGACAAGATTTTTCACCTTTCCCTGCTACTCTGATTTGCCAGAATTCTGAGCTTGGTAAAAACATTAAGAAATATGGTGAAAGCTGACCTTTTCTTTTTTTTTCTCTTTGTTAGTGTGTGGGAGAAGAGAAACGAGTTGGTACACGCACCATATTTGTTGGCAATCATCCCGTTTCAGGAACAGAAGCTTACATCGCACAGAGATTTTGTGATAATAGAATAGTCTCATCTAAGGTAAATTGTGTTGGTTGGTTGGTTTGTTTTAACTTACCAGATGTTCATATAAAGCTGGGTATTTTTAATGTACACTTCAAATAAAACTGATGCATTTATATATGTATACACACATGGTCATATACCTATACAAATCATAATACCAACTGTGGTATTTACTACTCTGAAAGGTAGTTTACTTTTTAAAATGCCCATCATTTTGTCTGGGTATAACTTTTGCTTGAATTCCATTATGATTCACAGTGCCTGTTAATTGCACATATTACTTCAGGCCTTATAATATGATAAAAGTAATAATTATTGTGCTGAGGAGGGGTTTTCTCAGTGGTAGAACATTTTGCAGGTTTGTGCGGACTTAGTAATTTTTGACTTGTTAAAGCTTTCTGAATTGCCCTTGAAAGGATTAGGCTGTACATGATTTATATTCTTTTGGGAGGGCACTTAGTGACTTTCATTTGTACCTCTCCTTTCTTCTATCTTGCTTCTGACTTGTGTTTTTGTGTTCTAAAAGATTACATTTTGACTGTATACTGCTTTCCTATGACCTATAAAGTTTAATCATAATAGCCATATCACTTCTTGAGTAAATAGTCTTACTTCAATATGGTATAAGCTAAGAGTAGTAGCCTGCAAGTTTGAACACCTGCATTTAAATCTTGACTAAACTATTCTTCTGCTATATCACCTTTGTCAAATTAATCAGTACAGTTTATAAAATTGCTAACACTTCATATGTGAAGACACTTCTCACAGCTCCTAGTAGTCATCATTCTGCTAGTATTAATTTACTGATGTTTATTGATGGGGAACCAGGCAAGGTGCAAGGTACTAAAGGGCTGATTTTACTACCATCTCTTATAACATGGAACATATTTTAATAATGTTCTTTACTTCCAAATGCAGCCTGACAAGGAAGAGCTAAAAACATTAGTAACATTTACTTCAGTCTACATTTGTAGTCACTTAGGACCTGAAATTCATCCTTTAAAAATATAGCACATTTTGGTATTCAAATATTGCTATGGTTTCTCCTTTAGTTAATGACATAATGGAGATTGTGTTCAGGTGAACGATTAATATATAAAATATAGGCAGAAGCACACAGATCTCTGTGAGTTCCAGGATAGTGAGTATTGTATTGTGTGAGACTTTGTCTCTACAGGAAGGAAGAAAGGAATGTAGAAAGGAAGGAAGGAAGAGATTAATATGTAAAATTTAAATGTGAAAACTGAGTAACCACCTGGACACACACACACACACACACACACACACACCTATAGAACCCTGGCATATCAGATAACATGTTGATTTTCATTTACTTTTACACGCTGTCGCAGACATTTTATTCCCAGTCAGGGGCTTATATACTTGTATCTGGGATAGTGAATAGTCTTTTTCTAGAAATTTTGACTTATTCTGTGTTACCTAACTAAGCAATCAATTATAGACCTTTGACTCAGAATCATAGACACATGGAAGTAAAAGGTCCCATGAGGTTTATCTTGTTGACATAGAGATAGAGAAACTAAACCCAGAGAAAAGAGAAACCAAACCCAGAAAAAGCTTCCAGAATGATAAGCAAGCACTTGTGATAAAGCCAGGGACAAAACTACTGTATAAGGCTCAATAACTTTGAAAAAAGAGCCTTTTTCACATTATGCTATTTGTGTACCTTCCTCATTCTTTTCTTTCTACACCAAAATGAAAGAATTATAATTTTCTATAATGTCTTATACGGAATATAATAAAGTGATAATCATTTTGTTATACTTTATTTCTCAATCTTATGTATTTAATAAAATGCTTTTTTGTGTTTTATGTAACTTCCACTTTTGCCAGCATCTAAAACAATGCAATAGCAAATATTTTGTGTGTTTTCAAGAGCACATGAGACAACTAAAATTCTATTTCAAGACAAAAGAATATACGTTTTTGTACAGATTAAGACTAACATACTTCTATTCCTTCCCCCTGAATACCAGGTTTATAGTTTCTCTAACTGATTGCTTTTTTTTTTTAACTGATTGCTTTTAAATAAAAAAAAAAACTGTTGAACCAAACAAAGAGGAATTGGCAATACAGTAATTTCAAAAAAAGGAAAATGTTTTTATTGTTTTTTTTTAACATAGACAGAATTTGATATGTAGCCCAGGCTGATCTTGTACCTGCTGTGTAGTGCAGACTGGCTTCAAACTCTCATATATACATACATATACATATATATATATATACATACATACATATATGTATACATATACACATATATATACATATACACATATATATACATATACACATATATGTATATATATGTGTATATGTATATATATATACACATATATATGTGTATATGTGTATATGTATACATATATGTATGTATATATGTGTATAAATGCCCACTACCTCTAAAGTGTTAATATTATAGACATGACTCACTATACCAGGCTTAAAAAGAAATGTTACTACCATAACCTAAGTATAATGAATGGTATTGATAGTGCATATTTTTGTTTTCTCTACTTGGTCATAAAAATAACTCTTGTTTTTTTGGTGTTTTTCCTTTACAAATAAAAATCTGTAAAATCAGTGTAATAGGAAATATATGTTATAATTGCAGAGAGCACCGAAGACAAACATATTGACCTTTAAATTTTATTTACTTATAAAATTAGCATTTCTTTTCCTTCTAGGAACACAAATACTTCCTTGTGGAAAAAATGAGGCCTTGGAATTTTGTAGGTGCCACAAAATTGGAGATTCCTTTGCTTAACAAAAGGAGCATTAATAGCACAACGCTATTTTTTTTTAAGTTCTTTAATTTCTATTACAAATTC